CATCATCATTCAACACTTTCACCACACTCGCACATTATCACTGTTTTTGCAGAGGTGCTCAGAATACAACAGTTTAGAAGCATATACTATAAAGATACACAACATATCCCTCCAAACTGCCATATATATATATATATATATATATATATATATATATATATATATATATATATATATATATATTATATATATATATATATATATATATATATATATATATATATATATATATATATATATATATATATATATATAAATAGTATAATGAGTATATATTATTTATTATATATATATATATATATTAACAAAGATCCTATTTAATAATTATTTGAAAAATTTTCTCATATAATAGTGCTTATAAAAAAAAATATACAAAAGGGGTCGACTGCAGTTACAATCGAACCGCGTTTTGAACACCTTATATTACTGGTTATGTCCATACGTTCACTTAATCGCCCACTGAACCTTCCTGATTACGCTGCAGGAGTGACTTTCAACCCGTTCAACGTGCATGGGACTGCAACCGTCACTCATCCCCCCCTCAAGAGGAAATTTGATGAAGTCATCGGCTGGATAGTTAGCGGAGGACTGGTCAACCACTTCTTCCTCAGCGCTCTCACTCTCTCAGCTAAGGCCTCGGTATGTGTAGCCCACAGTTTAAATTCACGTAATGTGAGGTCTTCCTAGTGAGAGATGCCCTGAGGTATCCCTGAGGTACTAATAATGAGTATATAACAATAATAATAATTAATAATAATTAATAATAATAATAATAATAATAATAATAATAATAATAATAATAATTATTATTATTATTATTATTATTATTATTATTATTATTATTATTATTTACAATCATAAAATTAATAAAAACACCAGTGGTGTACCAGTGGTGTACCAGTGGTGTACCAGTGGTGTACCAGTGGTGTACCAGTGGTGTACCAGTGGTGTACCAGTGGTGTATAAAAATATAAGGTTGTGCAACAACATTTTCGAGGACACAAACTAAGATAATACCTGCGTCAACACAGAGGCTGGCTGGTGGCCTGGAAGCCGTAGCTATGGCTGGGACGTCAGGAGGAGGAAACGCTGAAGCAATGACTGACGACGGCGGGGTTATCCCCTTAACTCTCAACCACCTCCAGGGCATCTTCTTCGTCCTCGTCTTGGGATGGCTGGGTTCTCTCCTGGCCTTTCTGCTGGAGGTCTTCCTGCACAGGGATTCCCGCTGGGTTGTTTCTTCGGTGTGGTGACTTCCCGGACTTGGAAGTGTAACACGCTGAAGTGTGTGTAGACGGCTGTTACTTAGGCCTGCCGAGGAAGGCTTTTCTCACATTCCTGCGTTTACAAGAGGCGTTTATGATCGCGATTTTTAGGCACAATCTTTGGTTCACAATAGCGAGTACGTGCCAACAAAATGATTACACAAATACTTAATTACACAAATACACAAAATGCATATACAAACAAGTAATTACAGATAGTAGATATTTACAAAATCTAGCTAGCTGCATATAAATAATTGAAAAATTATATGATTATTCAAAAATAATTAACACAAGGTAATTACTCACCCAGGACGACTGCTACACCAGCACAGTGATCATCAGCACTGATGTTGTTGCCTTTCTGTACCAGCAACGTTGATGTTGTGTAAGAATGGTATACAATACCGACAAGATGAAATTAAGACACATGTGCAACATCTGGGTATTTTTATTGTAGACGTTTCGCCAACCAGTGGCTTTATCAATACAAATTCCAGGACATAACTTGAAGACAGTAGAACTATGTACAGAAGATGAGGTAATCAGTCCCTCAACCCTGGAGTAGGTGCGAAGAGCACCGTAGTCGTGGAGATTCTGAAGCAGAAGCAAGGCGCCTGACGCTTATATAGTAACGTCCAAGATTGAGGGACTGATTACCTCGTCTTCTGTACATAGTTCTACTGTCTTCAAGTTATGCCCTGGAATTTGTATTGATAAAGCCACTGGTTGGCGATACGTCTACAACAAAGATACCCAGATGTTGCACATGTGTCTTAATTTCAACGTTGATGTTGTTGCCTTCCTGTACAAGCAACATTGATGTTGCTGCTTTCACGTAGCAGCCTCATTGATGTTGCTACCTTCCGGCACCAGCAACATTAATCTGCTGCCATGCTGTACCAGCAACATTGATGTTGCTACCTTCCAGTACCATCAACATTGATGTTTCTGCCTCCATGTACCAGCAACATTGATGTTACTGCCTTTCAGTACCAGTAACGTTGATGTTGCTGCCTTTCTGTACCAGCAACATTGATGTTGCTGCCTCCCAGTACCACCAACATTGATGTTGCTGCCTCCCAGTACCACCAACATTGATGTTGCTGCCTCCCAGTACCACCAACATTGATGTTGCTGCCTCCCAGTACCACCAACATTGATGTTGCTGCCTCCCAGTACCACCAACATTGATGTTGCTGCCTCCATGTACCACCAACATTGATGTTGTTGCT